AACAAACACTTGGACAAGCACAGGAAACATGAATGTTGCACGATATTATCACACAGCATCCATATTAGCAAATGGATTAGTATTAGTTACTGGCGGACAGAACAGCAGTGGTATTATTCTTAATAGTGCTGAATTATACAATCCATCAACAGGCACTTGGACAACTACAGCAAGCATGAATACCGTACGAATTTATCACACAGCAACCACATTAGCAAATGGATCAGTATTAGTTGCTGGTGGATACAACAGCGGCGGTTGTCTTAATAGTGCTGAATTGTACGATCCATCAGTAGGCACTTGGACAACTACAGGAAACATGAATTTCGCACGAGAATTACACACAGCATCCATATTAGCAAATGGACTAGTATTAGTTGCTGGTGGACAGAGCAACAGTAGTAATTATCTCAATAGTGCTGAATTGTACAATCCATCAACAAGTAGTTGGACAATTACACGCAGCATGCATAACGCACGAGCATATCACACAGCATCCATATTAGCAAATGGATCGGTATTAGTTGCTGGTGGAAGCTACACCAATGGTGGTTATCTCAATAGTGCCGAGCTTTATTAATCGATATAGACAGAATGATATTTTCTTGTTTGAATTGAATCATAATTTTTTTTATATGTAATCAAACTATTTAATCATTCACATTGCTTAATACATTATCACTCATGAAATAATATATGATTTGCAGTAATATCTCGCAGTGATATTGTATGACGGTTGTTGAAGAAGAGCTATAATTGATAAAAGACAGATCATTATTTGTACAACTGAATGTATATAAATATAGATGTGAAGAATATTAATTATTCTTTGTTAGTAACCACATTTATTCGTAGGACAGCAAAGTCACATGTGATAATAACGTATGAATAATCGTTCTCAAATGAATATCAGAGATGAATTACTGAATTATATATTCAAACAAATCTATTTTTTCAACTACACCTTTTTCTGTTAAATAATTTGGTCAGGTTAATTGTTGTAATTTTAGAAAATGGATATATTTTATGTTCTTATTATATACACAGTTTTATAAAAACGGATGATTGTCTCAACAAAGAATAAATCAAATGTTCAAGCCAAAGAAACAAAGCATATTATGGAAACACTACTACTTATTTTTGGATAAATAAATGGAAAAGAAAATAGAATTTATATTATTGAAAGTAAAAAGAGACGAGTGAGAATTTATTCTAGTCAATAATATATATCTCAAACAAATTGACATCATAAGTAACTAAGTGAAAAGATAACAAACACAAAAATAATCGACAGAAAGAAGAATCAGAAAAAGTGTCTGATTTAATCGATGAAATCTGTTGATTAGTTGATAGTTTTTCTAGAATGAAACACTACTTTATTCCCGATGTTCATTGTTAAAAAAATCTGTGTTTTCCAACGCTTCATTTCTAAGTCATTTTTTGAAAAACACTCATGAAAAGAAAAGATAAAGAACGTTTCTCATGTTTATTCTGTAGAAGTTGAATAATTCTATTGTTGTCGTTTTGTAGAAATATTCTGTTGAGGGCTATCTCATAAGTCTTTCATCGATTCTTATCTGTGCTGGTAATAAATACTAAGAGTATCTATTATTACTATTCCTCGCTCAGATTTTCGTTTTTATTAAAATTTGATTGATGCAGTTTATGCCTAATAAATAACTTCTGCCTATGTTCAGTTACGTCACAAGTTCGATTTAATCTACGCATTTCTTGATCTTAACTAGGGTGTGGGTGTGGATTGAGCGATAATAGGCACGAACACCCTACACCCACATCTTTCTTGAAACATTGTACTATCCTTTTTTTTTGTAAACATTTCCGATCATTTATTATGAATGAAAAAAAATAAAAAGAAACATGCTATAATTAAACAATTTCTAATGGATCTTTATCACGTTCTGATATAAATAATTTCACTTGATTTTCATTCCATATTTGTTCAAAATGTTTTTTAATAATATTTAAAAATCCTCTTTCAGTATTTGTATGATCACATAAAATAACTGTTGTACCACGATGTACAGCATCTAATACAGCATGATGCGAAAGTTCACCGGTTAATTGAAGATCAACATTTCGTGCACCAGAAAATACACTTGAACCTGAACCAGCACAAACTGCTATTGTTTTTATAGGAGAATCTATTGTTTTATTATTAGCTAGTGCGAGACGAATATGTTTCAAACCAGTTAATGTTTTAACATTTTCAATAGCTTCACGAATTGTTCGAGATTCTTTTAGTTGAATTAAACGTCCATATCCTTGACGAGAATCTAATGGCTAAAAGAAGAAAATAAAATCCCATAAATAATTTTAATTTTATTTCCGCACTTTTTGAACATCAACAATTTGAATTGTTTTAAGAATATTATCTTCATTACGATATAAGTCCATTATCGAACTTACAGCTCGTGATGAACATGAGATCGATACTTGAATTGCTGGACCATTCGATGTAGTACAACTAACAAAATAAAATTTTAATTGTAATATACAAAAAAACAGGATAAATTTACGAGATTTCATTGATGACAGTAGCATCTTTAATATCTTTAATTAAATTAATATTTTGTTCTTTTGGAAGAGTTACTGTTAATAAATGTTGACTTTTTGATGGTGTATCATTTTCTTTGATCTGTTCAATTGGACGTGATGTATAATCTTGTTCATCTTTGAAGAAAAAAAAACAACAAATTTTTATGATGTACACATTCTCTACTTCTATCTGTTTTATAAAGATAAGCTTTCTAGAATTACGAAGATAACATCCCAGAGTTTATATCAATTCTTTACTTGTTCCAAATGCTGATATAAGCCATTGATTAACACCATTATCAACTGCATCCCATGATGTATGAGGTGAATAAACTGTAATTCCATGTTTTATACATTTAAGTATAATTCTTTCTTTCCAATTACTTTGTGTTAACCGTTTTAAAGGACTAAAAATAGGTGGATGATAACTAATAATTAATTGTGCTTGTCGTTCAATAGCTTCATCTAATACTGGTTCTGTTAAATCATTTGTAAATAAAATTTTTTCGATGATTGGATTATTTTCACTAGGTTCAACAAGTACTCCAACATTATCCCATGATTGATCAGCAAGATAAAGTGGTGCATATTCTTTAAATTGAGAAAGAATCGTATTTAATTGTATTCCTGACATCGTTGTTAAATTTCGAATTAATTGTTGTGATTTATTCAATCGAAAAACTGAAAACATACAAAATAATCTAGAAGAAAACAAAAAACATTTTTTTATATATTAGAAAGAATTTTGTTGTGAATGAGAATCATCTTCATAATCATGATCATGTAAAAAGCTCTCATGTTTATGATTATGTTTTATTGATTGTTTAGGTGATGATAATGATTTGATTTGTAATGTTATACCAGCTTGACTAAATGCATCTTTTGTTTTGGATGAAAGATGTCGAATATATTTCGATGAATAATTACGCATTAATTTTGTAAATTCATCTAATCGATTAATTTTTTCATAAGCTTTAAATAAACTATAAAATAATGTATCAATTGATAAATGTCGAGTTATTGATGGATATTGTTCAATATAATCAATAAAATTAACAAGGGAGATTGTATTCGTATCAAATACATGATTACTTTCATAAATATCATTTGTTAAGAGATTATTCGAAGGTATAATTTCATCATCATTATTTTGTATATCAGTTGGAATAAAGAATAATTCACGAACATATCTTTGACAATGTTCTTCGAATGTTGCACGACTTATATGTTGACAAACTTTAACTGCTTCGGATAAACGACGTTCATGAATTAAAGCAAATGCTAGTTGTTCATATGCATAAGTACGTGAACGAATTTTACCAATTTTAATCAATACTTGTTTAAGTTCTTCTGTACAATCAT